CCGAGGGGGGCCGCCGGGCGCCGGGCGCGGAGGCGGTGCTGCTGTGGGACCCGGCTGGGGGCGGCGGCGGCCCGGACCGGAGGGCTTTTTAAATACAAATCCGGCGCTGGGGGGCCGGGAGGGGAGGGGAAACCCTGCTGCTGGGGAACTAAGCGAGCTGCTGGGCTTGTGGAGGGATTCTGAAATGTGAATATTGAGGTCTTGAAGGGGAGAGCATTCTGGCTTGACAAACAGTATTAATCCGGGACCACAAGACCTAGAAGCGGAGCATCCAGAGCCTTTTCAAATTATTAGGGCAGGAAAGGGTTGCACGAGTCGGGAAGCTTAGTACTAACTGGCGAGCCCACAGTGTGGGTATTGAGGGGTTTTAAGATACGGGGAGTTAGTAAACGTGATAGCAAGGATTTTAAGGCATTATCGAGGAGTTGATAGCGTTCGGGGGAGAGGTTAAAAAAACTGAGTGCTTATTATTATTATTATTTTTTATTTTTATGAGTTTGAGGGAGGAAAGGGCCTCAACTGCTGTGTAATATTTGTGGAGAACTCAAAAGGGATATGTATACTTGCAGCGTCTAGGCGTTTTGTTAGGTACAGGTATTTGAGGAATAAAAAGGGTACTACACACGATAAGGGTCTTGTAAATGTTGAAAGATGAGGAGGACAACTGAAGGTAGTTTGGTTGAGGGGTTGTTTTCAAGGGGCAAGAAAGAACATGAGACTTGTCCTTTTAAAATATTTGGGTAGCGTTAGGTAGTTGTGGAGATACTGTCAAGGAGCTTTTTTGGGTAACGTTTAAGGGGCCAGAGTTGTGTGGGGTGTTTATTTGGGGGGATTCTGGGATATGGCTGGTCTCTGCAACAATCTCCAAAGAAGGTGGAGGAAAAGAGAAAGGATGGAGGGTAGGGGGAGATGTCTTCTAATTCTTTGGAATGAGGATAGCAGGAGAGTAATGGAGAGGAAAGAAATTTCCTGCCCCTTCATTTCCGATTCTTATTCTCTTATTGGACGTTAGGGGTTTCTATTTGAAAGAAAGGGGATAGAAGAGTTGGGTAGGTTTTGAATCGTTAGATCAGATTGCTTTTGTGGAAAAATTGAGTGAATTTTAGGGCGTGAAAATAGAGTAGTTTGGAAGGTGTGGAGGAAGCATGATAGAGTTGGGATGTTGGGAGACCTCAGCAAGCTACTTCCTAGTTGTCTATTTACTGGTCTTCCTAGGAAACCTTGTTAAATTTGTGTTTTTGTTGTTTGCTTGGGATGATATCTAGGAAGAGAGTTGGCCCTAGTCCAGTGTGTGAGCCTTGTGCAGGCAGTGTGGGTAGGGGAGGCAGCATTAGGGATGTTCTGATGCTTGGAGTGGTAATGCACTTTGAGCAGAAGTGTGTGAATGAATAATATGCAGTAAGAATTGTGAGTGCTGTAGTAGTGGTAGTCTGGTTAGAGCGAATGGCTGGTGGACATGCTGGGCATTTTTGTAGAAGGATATGGGCTTCCTATATATGCACCTTACTTTTTCTACAGTAAAGTGTTTCGGGGCCCAAAAATGGAAATGGATTGTGATGTAAAAGTTTGAAATAAGATAGATTTCCTGAAACTGGTATGTGGAGAAAGAGGAAAAACGAAAAAGATCTGTAAACTGAAAATTTAGTTATCTCTGTATTATTATAGATTAAAAAGCCAATTTTGTACACCTGCTGTTTCTGTTGCTTTTTTTTAGAGGGGGTGGTTTTCTGTATAAATTGATATTTATTGATAGAGATCCTTTTAAAAATAGTAGATGTATATTTTATGTCTTTGGTAGAATGTGAGAATGTGACTGTTTTGGCGGACCTGGGGATTGAACTCAGACCCTTGTGCTTGCCAGGCAAGTGCTTATTCTGCTGAGCCATCTCCCTGGTCCCTATGACTACTTTTAATATTACAGTTTTTTCTTTGCGTTTTTGTTTTGGTCTGGGTAATGCATTTGTTTTTTGTTTTTATTGTCCAGATTTTTCATCTTACTAAGCTTGATTTCATTAGGGTTTTTTTTTGGGGGGGTGTGTGGCCTGATAGGAATAAAAATTTTCTTAAGATGACGACTCCTTGCTGGGCATGGTAGTGCAGTTCTGTAATCCCAGCACTGGGGTTGCAGCAAGGCTGAAGCAGGGATGTGACAGTGTGTTCAGGGGCAGAGAGTCTGGGCTACATAGTGAGTTCAAGAACAGCCTGAATGAACATGGTGAGACCCTGTCTCAAACAAGGGGGGGATGGTAGAACATTACTTGTGTTTTGTTTTTGCATTTGAGTTACATATTCAGTTTAAGAGACACATTATATCTTTTTTTTGTTACTTCCTTAGGTTGTCTTTTTTTGTTTGTTTGTTTTTGTTTTTCTTTTCTTTTCTTTTTCTTTTTCTTTCTTTTTTGTGGAACTGGGGATGGAAATCAGGCCCTTGTGCTTGCCAGGGAAGCACTTATTCCACTGAGCCATCTCTCCGGCCCCTTGTTTTTCTTTTCTTGAGATAGGGTCTCTTGGCCTTAAACTTTTGCCTCTTCTCCAGAATGTTGGGATTACAGGTGTGTGCCACCACACCTGGCTTTCATTTAAGTTTTTTTTTTTTTTAAAGGAAGATGTATGACCTGGGCTTGGGGTGTACCTTGGTGGTGGAGTGCTTGCCTGCAGTGCTTAAGCTCTAGTTTCCTATTATTACAAAACAAACCGCCCTACTAACATCATTGCTTAGGCTTAACAGTGTACGTGGCTGTCCTAGAAGTACAGAATAAAAATGCTTATTTTTAATTCACATAAGTATTAATTTTGGAAGATGTTAATAAATAATAAATGCAAATGTCACAAGTATTTTCATTATTGACACGTTGTCTTGGGAGATTATTTTTTGTTTAGAAATCCTTGAGTGGTATGCTAAACTGGGCAGTGTTTATAAATGTACTTTTTTGATTCTTTTATTTATTTTTGTGATACCAGGGATTGAACTCAGGACCTTGCATTTGCCAGGCAAGCTCTTTTTCTACTGTGCTATCTCCCTGGCCCCTAAATGTACTTTTTTGCATATTTCAAATTCAAGAAAATTTTCATAGCAGAATGACATGTTGCTACAACATAACATTTCAGAGCAGTTGTTAGACTTTCAAATATGGTAGTTGCAGTGGCTGGGTTGGAGTCAGAGTATGGCTATAGGCATGATTTCTGTTTCACTTTCTTTTTTTTTTTTTTGGCAGAACTGGGGATTGAACTCAGGCCCTTGCGCTTGCCAGGGAAGCGCTTGTTCCACTGAGCCATCTCCCCGGCCCCTCTGTTTCACTTTCTTATTTAGCCTAATTTATAGATAAGTAAATTTGTGAAAGCTGCTCATGTTCAAAGGTTTTTAAGCATGCTACATTTTGTCACTGAGCAAACATGTAAAACAAGCATGTAAGGTATTCTAAATTAATGCAGTTCACATCATGGACAGTTTTTCTCTCACCTTCCACTCATCTTGTAGACATGGAACATACCTGTTACTGGAAGCCAGAGGAAGAAGGCTGGAAGAATTAACTCGACTCTTAGTAGATTCTGCGAAACCATTTTTGTTGGCGTGTAGTGAAGAGGAGGAAAACTGTGTCTTAGTTGAGAAGTTCATGCCAGTTCCTTGAAAGTGTATAAATGGACTAGCTGATCCTAGTTCTCATCTGTCCTCTCATTCAAAATGTCATAGATATCCTAGGCAGAGAGACTATGTAGGGATTTGCAGTTTGGAGATATGATAAGCTTCATTTTACCAGAAGTGAAGGCTCATTTTAAGGGCGCACATTCCTTAAAAGTAAGGTTCTAATACATCCAGGAGATAAATGAGTCACTGAAGAAATTTGTAAGTTTAGAAAATGTTTCATGTAATTTGGGATGTTGAGGCAGGAAGATTACAAAAACCAAAATAGTGGATGCAAGCATTTTTCAGTAACTGAACTGCATTTCTACCAAATGTGTGAAGTATGAATTCTACAGTTACTTAAATTATATATCACAAAATATAAAAATAAACATTTACATTTGCTTGCTTGGCTTATTGTAAAAATTTGAATTGGTATGTGGTTTTTTGTTTTGGGGGAGTGTACTGGGAATTGAACTTACAACCACATAGTTGCCAGGTAGGAGTTATGCTGCTGAGTTATCCTCAGCATTGGTATGTGTTTTTAAAAAGTGATGGTTGCCAGGTGTGGTCGAGCATGCCTATAATCCCAGCACTTCAGAGGCTGAGGCAGGCCAACTTGGGCTACATAGTAAATTGAAGGCCAACCTGAACTGCATTGTGAGACCCTGTCTCAAAAAGACAAAACAAAACAGAAAAACAAGCAAGTTATGGCATTTGTAAATTTGGACAATTTTATCTGTATATTCTAATAATGCATCTTTTTTAAAAAAATTTACGTGTTTGTATAGTGTGTCCCTATACAGCTCAGACTCATAGTAATCCTCCTGTTTTAGCCTCTCCAGAGCTGCAGTTACTGGCGTGCACTACCACACCAGGTCTCAGTGGCCAGCTTGGCACACCCGGGGCTGGGATGGCACAATATGCAGTACCAGAGATCAAACCCGGATCCTTGCACTTGCCAGGCAGGCACTTAGACTGCTGAGCTCTCTCTCCAGCCCCATACACTTTTTTTTTTGAATAAGGAGCATTTAGTTTTTAGTTACTTTATCTCTGACAATTTTGGAAAAATTGTCTAACCTTTTTTTGTTGAACAGAACTAATTAATTTACCTACTCACATACATGTTAAGGATGCATACTATGAAAAGTACTTTGTGTACTTCATTAATTCTATTCTGTAAATTTTATGTTTTGAATTATAAGAACATATTAAATGTACTGCAAAGGTAAGTTGTT